AAGATCTAAATAATGGAGAGATATTCCATGTAAATGAATAGAGTCAATATTTTGAACAATTGGTTTTTGAAATGAAAAATCCAATACCATTTGCATTAGCACCAAAAAATTAAATATAAAGTATAAAATAACAAAATATGTACAAGATATACATGAGGAAAACTACAAAAATCTAATGAAAGAAATTGAAGATCTAAATAATGGAGAGATATTCCATGTAAATGAATAGAGTCAATATTTTCAAGATGTCAGTTTCTCCCAACTTAGTCTATAGATTCAACACAATCCCAATGAAATCCCAGCAAGTTATTTTGTTGATATTGGAAAACTGATTCTAACATTTGTACACAAAGGTAAAAGACACAGAATAGCCAACACAGTACTGAAGGAGGAGAACAACAGAGAACAGACACCACCTGACTTCAAGACATACTGTAAAGCTACAGTAATTAGGACACTGTGGTATTGGCAAAAGAATGGACAGATAGATCAGTTGGACAGAAGTAGAAAACTCAGAAATATAACCACACAAATATTCTTTTTTTTCTACCCCCCCCCCAGGAATACTGTTGAGAACTATTTATTAATTTTTTTCTTTTTCTTTTTTTTTTTTGAGAGAGTTTCACTCTGTTGCCCCGGCTACAGAGCAGTGGCTCTCATACCTCATTACATCAAACTCCTGAGCTCAAGCAATCCTCCTGCCTCAGCCTCCTGAGTAGCTAGGACTACAGGCGCCCACCAGCACGTCTGGCTTATTTTTCTATTTTTTTGTAGAGAAGGGGGTCTTGAACAGGCTGGTCTTGAACTCTTGACTTTCAGCGATCCTCCTGCCTCAACCTACCAGAGTGCTAGAATTACTGGCATGAGCTACTGTGCCTGGCCCCAAATATTCTCAGCTGATCTATTGAGAATCTGAAGGAGCAAACGTATCCAATGAAAAAAGGATAGTCTTTTCAACAAGTGGTGCTGGAACAACTGTACAACCACATTCAAAAAATAAATAATTATTGAGATACACATCTTACATCTTTTACAAAAAAAAAAAAAAAAAAACCTCAAAATGAATAATGGACCTAAGTGTAAAACACAATATTATAAAACTCCTAGAAGATAACATAGGAGAGCATCTAGGTAATGTTGGGTTTGGCAATGATTATTTATTTATTTACAAATCTTTTTTTTTTTCCTTCAGTTTTTAAAATTTTATTGGCCAGGTGCGGTGGCTCATGCCTGTAATCCTAACACTCTGGATAGGCCGAGGTAGGAGGATCCTTTGAGCTCAAAAGTTCAAGACGAACCTGAGCCCTAAACAAGAGTAAGATCCATCTCTACTAAAAATAGGAAAAATTAGCAGGATACGATGGTGCCAGCTACTTGGGAGGCTGAGGCAGGTGGATCACTTGAACCCAGGAGTTTGAGGTGCTGTGAGCTAGGCTGACGCCATGGCACTCTAGCCCAGACAACAGAACAAGATACTATCTCAAAAAAAAAAAAAATTATTATTTTCTCACCAAGTTGTGATTTGAAGAGCAAATACTGGTTTGATTCTCTTGGTTATTATCCCTCATTAGACCCTAACCCAGTGTAGTTGCACGAAGCAGGAGTCCAAGAGATAATGGTTTAAAACAGATAGGGAACCCCCTCCCCCAACTGATGTGCCTGGACACACCCATTGTCCTAGCCTCTCCATTCCTAGAAACCTGGACTCTCCCCTCAAATATCCTTCCTGTCTCATCTACAGCATTGACTCAAAGCAGGGGCAAATGCCCATCCCAAATGGCAAACACTCCTCCTCAGCCAGTGACCTCAAATTTCCGCTGCCCCTAGACAGGTTCTCCAACCTTCAGAAAAATGGCGAGATGGACCTAGGCCCTTGATTCTAAAGTTAGCCCTTTCCCGCAAATATCACCAGCACAGGCTTGTCACATATTTTTGCGGTGGAACGTTTCCTTAGTGAGCTGGTTTACTCCCACAAGAGTAACCAATGCCCCATTTCAATTCTCAAGGAAACGACTCTGCGTCCATCTGCCTCAGCCTTTTCTCCCACTGCCAACACAGCCGTTTCTCAGGGAAATAGCCCAAGTTGCGTGGCCGGGTGGTTATCGGCCAACAGTTTTCTAACGCAAGATGGAGACCGGCAATGATCTTTTAAACATAACATCAAAAAGGCAAAAGCACAATCCATGAAAGAAAAAAAAATGGTAAGTTCAACTTCATTAATATTAAAAACTTCTGTTCCATCAGAAATACTGTTAAGAGAATGAAAAGTGCAAACTGGGAGAAAGTTTTTGCAAAACATAACTGATAAAGGACTGGTATTCAAAATATGAAAGAACTAGACTTCAACAATAAGAAAACAACCCAATTTTTAAAATGGGCAAAAGATCTAAACAGACACCTCACCAAGGAAGATATACAGATGGCAAACAATCATATGAAAAGATGCTCAATATCATATATCATTAGGAAATTGCAAATTAAAACAATGAGATACCACTACATACTTGTTAGAATGGCTAAAATGCTAAACAGTGACAATGCCAAATGCTGGTGAATATGTGGAGCAACAGGAATATTCATTCATTGTTGGTAGGAGTGCAAAATGTACCGCCATTTTAGAAGACAGTTTGAGAGTTTATTTCAAAGCTAAGCATACTCTTACCATATGATCCAGCAATTGCATTCCTTCTTATTTACCCAAATGAGTTGAAAACTATGTCCACAGAAAAACCTGCACACAAATTTTTATAGCAGCTATATTCATAATTGTCAAAACTTAGAACAAGCAAGATGTCCTTTAATAGACGAATGGATAAACAAACTGTGGTACATCCATATAATGGAATACTACTCAGCAATAAAAAGAAATGAGCTATCATGCCATAAAAATCCATCCAGGAACTTTAAGTGCATATTGCTAAGTGAAAGTCAGTATGAAAGGCTACATACTGTGACTCCAACTATATGACTGACAACTGAAATGAGTGGCTGAGACAAGGATCTCAATCAATCAAGGTTTATTAAGCCAGCTTTAGGGTGCATCTGGGGAAAACATGAATCACAGGTGCATCTGTGGTTGTTTTTCTGAAGAAATTTTCAGGAGATTTAGTATTTATACATTTCCTTAAAGGAGGGAAGGTGTATAGGAAGAGGGGCACTTAGTAAGGCAAATGGTTACATTCTTCTCAGACTTTAGTTAGTGCCCAGTAAATGTACATTTTACATAGATGAATGTTTGAAGAGAAAAGGGGAGTAAAGGAAGAATCAATTATACAGATGTCTCTGGGTAGGTGGAGGAATGGTTGATCTTGTCTCTGTTCTGTACCTGGGAATCAGCATTATCAGTGTAGAATCGAACAATTAGTTTTAGGAACTAGACTTAGACTGTAGACCTAAAATTACGATTGGCATGTCCTTGTTTATGGGAGGCCAGCAAAGAATTTACTTATGAGTGATCTGTGAGGGCAGTCTTTTGTAGATTCCTGAGGCCTTTTGCCTTTCTGTGGGGATCTGGCTAATGCTTAATGTTAGTAAACAGCTATTCATTTGGAAGAGGGCGTTCCATAACTCAGCCTTCTGGCTTGACCTTCCCTTTTGCATAAGGAGTTTGGAGGCAGTGGGTCCTGAGATGTTTATTTTCCTTTACGTGACTTTTTAGAAAAGAAACTATAGAGACAATAAAAAGATCAGGGGTGGGGCAGGATATGTTAATGACAAAAATAGGTGGTGCATGTGGGATTTTCCAGTCAATGAAACTTTTTAGTATGATATTTTAATGGTTGATACATGTTATTATACACTTTTCAAAACTTAGAAAATGCACAACACAGACAGTGAACCCTAATGTCAACTATGGACTTTGGTTAATTGTACTGTATAAAAAAATTTCCTTAATCCAGAATTTTCAAGGTGTAATGCTGTGGCTCACTTCCTCATCATGAATGGATTCAGAATGAGAAAAAGTTAAAAAGTTTGGGCTATTGGAGAAGTTGCCTTTTATCAATAAAGCTATCAGGAACCTAAAAAAAAAAGTACTGTGTCAATATTGGCTCACCAATTGTAATTTTGTATTATTAAAATACAAGATTTTAATAATAGATGAAGAGGGAGAGGGATTAGGAGGGGGATATCGTAACTCTACTTTCTGCTCCATTTTTTCTGCAAAACTAAAACTGCTCTTAAATAATAAAGTCCACTAGTTTAAAAAACAAAACAAACTAATACTCAGCAAAAGACATCATTAATAGAGTGAAAAGAGAAGTGGAAACAGATATTTGGTATTTATACATAACAAAGAGTTCATGTGCAGAATGTGAAAAGAACTTCAGTCTTCAATAAACTACACTACACAAGGGCCAGGCGCGGTGGCTCATGCCTGTAATCCTAGCACTCTGGAAGGCCAAGGCCAGAGGATTGTTTGAGCTTAGGAGTTAAGAACCAGCCTAAGCAAGAGTGAGACCCCCCATCTCTACTAAAAATAGAAAGAAATTATCTGGACAACTAAAAATATATAGAGAAAAAATTAGCCGGGCATGGTGACGCATGCCTGTAGTCCCAGCTACTCGAGAGGCTGAGGCAGAAGGATTGCTTGAGCCAGGAGTTTGAGGTTGCTGGGAGCTAGGCTGATGCCACAGCACTCTAGCCTGGGCAACAGAGCCAGACTCTGTCTCAAAAAAAAAAAAAAAAAAAATACACTACGCAAGGGGCCCAAAGCTAACTTCTGGAGCACAGTGATTCTCAGTCACCTGGTGGGTGATTTCAATATTATGGAGCGGCTCAGATTTCTTCAGAGGAGGGGTGGGAGAGAGAAAGGAATGAAAAGCCAGAAACCACAGAGTGACAACCTCCGCCAATCCTGAGTTACCAGCAATCCCAGAGAGAATCAAACCTCCTGATTCCTGGGCAGGCACTGGAAGTAGACTTAGGGTCCAGGGAGCCTTTTACTCTCACTGTTGTAGTCTCCTAGGTTGACCCAGCAGTAGGGTTTTCCCTTTTGTGCTGCCAGGGCTAATCTTCCGGAAGCACCAGCCATCCTCAGAACACTGGGTGAGGAGTGGTTTGGGCTTCTCCCCAGCCAATCTGAAGAAGGCCTCCTCTACATTGTCCAGTTGGTAGAGGTGGGGTGGGGACGGTAGGAGCCCCTGAAGCTTGGGGATCTGTCCTCACCCCAAGATGTGCACACAGTGCTTGATAATGAGCTTCAGGGACGATTTGTCCCTCTATTCAGTTTAGATTTGCCACTGTTATTTTTGTCTTTATAGTATTTTTTTTTGAGACAGAGTCTCACTCTGTTGCTGGGGCTAGAGTGCCATGGCATCAGCCCAGTTCACAGCAACCTCAAATTCCTGGGCTCAAGCAATCCTTCTGTCTCAGCCTCCTGAGTAGCTGGGACTATGGGCATGCACCACCATGCCCGGCTAATTTTTTCTATATATACTTTTTTTAGTTGTTCAGCTAATTGCTTTGTATTTTTTTAGTAGAGATGGGGTCTTGCTCTTGCTCAGATGGGGTCTTGCTCGAACTCCTAAGTTCAAACAATCCCCCACCTCGGCCTCCCAGAGTGCTAGGATTACAAGGTGTGAGCCACCCCGTGCCCAGCCTGTCTTTATAGTATTAAATAAACTAGACTTGGATTTTGCCTAGTAATTCTTTCATATCACAGCACGTCAATAGTTGAAGTGGGTGAGGGAACCCAAAGGTCTCAACTGATGTAGAGGTGCTTAATGTTCCCTGAACGAACACTGTGACCACTTCATGATTTTTTAGTGTTTTGCTGCTCTGGATAAATAGTATTATTTCCCTAGATACCACAAAGGTTTTACTCATGTGCATGTTATTATAGCAAGTTTACCAAGACGTGACAAGATTCAGTTTCCCTTCCCTTGCTAAGGATCATGAAGCCTCCTTTTCCCCTAGTGAAGTGTCCCAAGACCCTCTGGCTCGCCAAAGCAGTTCTATGAAGGGGTATTAGGTTACGTTTATATATAGAAGAAAACCTCAGGAAACAGGGTATGGTGGCCTTCCAGCCTCTGCTCATGTGCTTTTCTCTTCTTCCTTCCTGTAATGTAGTTGTATCAACCACAAAGTCTTTAAAATCTTTTTTCCCTAGCTTTGAGATATAATTGACAAATAAAATTGTATAAATTTAAGTTGTACAATGTGATGATTTGATGTATGTATATACTGTGAAGTGATTACCACAGTCTAGTTAGTTACACTTATTTGTTGTGGTGCTATTTCTATTATTTGTGTGTGCTATTTCTTTCTGTATCTTTTGACCTTTCACCTTTGTGGTCCTTCAGCACTTCTGCTTCTTAAGGTCGTTATCATCACATACCCTGAACAAGGGCCCACCAAATCTGTTAGTGTGCATACTATCCAAAGAAGAATTTAGTGGGATGAGTGGGGAAACGATGTTGTTTTTAGTTACCTAAATGAGGAGTAGGCTAGGCAAATTAAGTTTTAAAATGACTACTCAATGACATGGCTTGTTTTGTTTACCTGCTCACCCATTGGTGAGGGAGGGAGTCCCACCCTGGGATTCTGAGGATGGCCAAACACATGACACTGGCATTTAACAGATGCGACTGACAATAGTTTATTAGTAAGTATTATTATATAATACTTACAGCCCAGGGGAGGAGGACAGCAAAGGGCCACTCAGGAGCATAGTAAACAAGCAGGGGCTATGGGATGCAGGCTTTCTAGTAACAAAAGAATGAGGTGACACCTGGTTCCCACAGAAGGATGTGATTGGCTTCTTTGAATAATTTTGTGGGTTATGAAACCCATTAGGTTGAGGACCAGGTGGAGTGCAGCTGGTCCAGTTAATGGGGAGTGAGGGTGGTACTAGCCCTGTAGGGAACCTTTGAGGCTCAAAGATATCAAAGCAGCACGTGACTTTTTTTTTTTTTTTTTAGCACATGACATTTTAAACCTGCTCACTTTAACTTAGGGAAAAAGTATAGTTTTTCAGAAAGATTTATAATATATATCTTTGTTCCCAACTCTCTTTATTCGTATGTCCTCTTTTTTTTTTTTTTTCCTTTGTAAATCTCAATGATACACATCTCTCTTTCAGTTCCTCTCTAGGGGGAAAAAAAAAATCTCAGAAATACCCTTGACCATCCAGCACTCCTGTTGCACTTGCTCAAATATTGGTGGTGGAATTGAAGAGACATCAGGTACTAGAGTCTATAAGGCTTCCTGCTGTATGTTAAAAGCTATGATAAAAGCTATGCTAAAAGCTATGGTACCTCAAGCTCAGTTCCCTTACTGTTCACTATAATCACGTGAATGCTTACGTCCCCATTTGCTTTAGTTTATCCCTTTAACCTCTGGAATAGGCAGTCTGAAAAACATGGGTGTTGTCTTCAACACTGACTTTAAATGAAATATGCTTTTCACTATTAGAAGAACATGAGAAATTATTTAGAAAATTTATACCAGTGAAATAAAAATTAGGATATTTCATTATATTCACATTTTTATGGAGATGGTATAAATAATACAGCAAGCAAGAAAACTCTGGGGGTGCTAATTGTTCACCCTTACCATATCAAAGTACTTATTTCATTTTGCCTTGTTTCAAGGCTCCAGTTGGAAATACTTGGGAAGTTGAAATTGTCAGCCAGATGGAACAGTCCATAAATATCTATGACAAAAATAAGTAATTTTGGCAGAAAGAAGTAGAGAGAACATCAAATTTTCCTGAAGCTAGACACCTTGAAATTTAAAATATAAATCCAAGACTTTCACAGATCTGTACATGTATATTTGAGGAATTTTCAACCAATTGGATGTATTCCCCCATGAAACATGCAGATGTGCTTAGCTTTCTGGTAGTAGAACCTGTGCCAGGTATGAAAACTGACATTCTAAGCATCAAATACGTTTGGCAGACACTTGTGTAGCTCATTCAGTGTTTTTTAAAAATTGAATTATTCACCAACTGTTAATAATTTAGATATTTTAAATAAAAATCTAGATTTTTTTTTTTCTTTTTTGGAGACAGGGTCTCACACTGTCTCCCAGGCTACCATGCAGTGGCATGATCATAGCTCACTGCAGCCTTGAATTCCTGGGCTTAAGCAAATCCTCCCACCTCAGCCTGTCTAGTGTAATAGCTGGGACTATAGGCTCATACCACCACATGAAACTGATTTTTTTTTTTTTTTGTAGAGATGGGGGTCTCACAATGTTGCCCAGGCTGGTCTCAAATTCCTGGCCTCCAGCGGTCATCCCTTCTCAGTCTCCCAAAGAACTAGGATTATAGGCATGAGCCATAGCGCCCAGCCAGGATTTCTACATTATCTTGAAAGATTAAAATCTGGCATCACTGGGCTAGACCTCTGTAGATGTACTGTTCAGTTCATTCCAATCCCTACCTTCCAGCTTCATTTTCTGTCCGGGCCCTAGAGGCATTTGAATTTGCTTCTTAGAAGAATGATTACCTCAAAAGAGGATTTTATTTAATGGCAGAGAAAACTAAACAGAAACAAGGTAAAGTCACTCTTGACCATCTTAATAGGTTATTTGCAAAAAAATGGGAAACCATAAATTGAGGAAAATTTTAAAAGAGGATGTTTCTTGATTTAGTTTAAGTAATAAAACATACTGTGTCAATAATTTGACTTTTATGGCCTTTTCTAACCTCAGAGAGCCTAAAGCATTTTCAAAACTAGATATAACAGCTCTTTCCACAGTAATTTAGCTAGTACACATTTCCGAATATATTAAGTGTTTAAAGAATGGTTACTCCATATATATGTGTCATGTATTTTATTAAGGGTATATACAAAAGATGAGTAAAACATGGATTTGAAGTTGATGAATTTACAATCTAATAGGAAAAACAAATGAACACATCAAAAAATTCTGCCTAGGAGAATTGGGAAAGTAAAGAAAATAGGCATTAGGTGGGACTTTAAGGATAAATAGGATTTTGAGATTGCATTAGTCAGGGTCTCCAGAGAAACAGAATATTAATTTATTAATACTCTATTATTTAATGCTATAGTATTAACTATATATTATTGTGTGTACATATATAGAGAGAGATTGACTGATTTTTAAAGAATTGGCTCCTGTGACTGTGGAGACTACTAAATCCAAAAATCTGTAAGGCAGGCTAGCAGGCTAAGAACTCAAGCAGGATTTCTGTGTTACATTCTGGAGGCAATATTCCTTCTTCCAATGATACGTTTTTGCTCTCAAGGTCTTTAACTGATTAGATGAAGCCCACCCACATTATAGAGGGTAGTCTCCTTTCCTTAAAGTCAACTGATTGTAGATGTTAATTGCAACTACAAAATACCTTAACAGCAGCATCTGGGCACACAGCCTAGCTAAGTTGACGCATAAATTTTAACCATAACAAATTTGTAGGGAAAGGATGAAGAAGCTGTTAACAACATATCAGTAACTGATATTTCACAGGAGTAGTATATGCAGTTTCTTTTAAAGCGTGCTGGATAGAGTAGTAGGTTATATCAAAACTTGTTTTCTGGGCTTTTTATATCAAAACTATGTTTTATTTGCGGGAGTATAGCTCCTGTGGAAGAGGCCATTTTTTTTTTTTTTTGAGATAGAGTCTCGCTTTGTTGCCCGGGCTAGAGTGACTGCCGTGGCATCAGCCTAGCTCACAGCAACCTCAAACTCCTGGGCTCAAATGATCCTTCTGCCTCAGTCCTTCTGCCTCAGCCTTCCAAGTAGCTGGGACTACAGGCATGTGCCACCATGCCCGGCTAATTTTTTCTCTATATATATATTTTTAGTTGTCCAGATCATTTCTTTCTATTTTTTAATAGAGACAGGGTCTCGCTCTTGCTCAGGCTGATCTCGAACTCCTGACCTTGAGCAATCCACTCGCCTCGGCCTCCCAGAGTGCAAGGATTACAGGCGTGAGCCACCGCACCCGGCCATGGAAAAGTCCATTTTAAAGAAATTCAAAATATTGCTTAGGTAACAAAAGCATAGAGGAACAAAACCAGGAACTTGAGTCCATCGTGAGGAAAATCTCTTCCCAACTCCCTCAGTGCACCTTAAAAAAGGGAAGTAACTTAGTTGGTGAAGTGGATAGATTGGAATAGCTTCCTTGGGTTCATTACGTCATCCATCCATCTGTTTTATAATAAACCTATCCGGTCGTTATAATTTACTCCGATGCTTGGGACAGAGAGAGTGAGGGATTTATTTAAAGTGACACAGACCGATACTAAAATTTCTTGACTCCAAGACTGACATCTTTTCTGCTGCTGTTTTCAGACATACATCTCCTGGGTGCAAGGATCGCCTCACAAAGACTTAAAGAGCCCTAGGCTCCTTCAGGGAGGGTGTGGAACCGCGAGGGAAGCTGGCTGGAGATTGGAGAAAATAGAGACGCCGAAACCTCCGACGCTCCTAAAAGGCTTGTGTAGAAGACATATTCCCGATTTTGCTCACGCTCAAATTCTCTCTTCTACTCTCTCGAGAAGTAGAATGAAGATTGGGACTCTGGAGCGGATTTAAGAAAGAGGGCAGATGCTAGAGTCAAGGCTAGGAAGTGGGGGGCGACCGTGGGCTCTCTTCGCCCAGCCCCGGCTACTGGGAGCCCCTCAGGCTATAGAAACCTCCGGAGAGGGGCGGGACGTTACTTCCTAGCTCAAGGGATGGCGGGTGGGCTGGGTGTCCTGTTTTCTGCTTTCTGCTGTCCAACAAAAACCTTTGTCCGCAGCCTTGGCAACAGTTTGCCCCTACAGTGTTCAGCTTCATTTGTCACTGCGATTTTATCTTATAATATGAAGTTAAAGAGCTTACGTAAATTCTTGGCTGTCCTGCCAATTTTGTGTTTTGTTTTGAGACAGGGTCTTGTTCTGTTGCCCAGGCTGGAGTGCAGTGGCTTCATCATAGCTCACTGCAGTCTCAAACTCCTGGGCTCAAGTGATCCTCCTCTGCCTCAGCCTCCCCAATAGCTGGGACTCAGGCCAACATGCCCCCCTGAGTTTTCTATTTATTGTAGAGATGGGGGTCTCGTTCTTGCTCAGACTGGTCTTGAACTCCTGACCTTAGCAATCCTCCTGCCTCCCAAAGTGCTGGGATTACAGCATGAACCACTGCACCTGACCAGCAAATTGCTTTTGATAAGTGCAACTTTGAAAAAAGGGAGAGAAGAATTTGTTGATACTTTATGATTGTAATATTTACAAAGATGATAATTGAAACAAAAAAATATGGGCTTTCTTTACAAAGAAGCCCTTGGTGACTTGCGTGTGTGTTTATATACACAAATATATGTGTTAGAGCCGGTTCCCCTCGGCCCCAGGAACAGAGACGCAGAGTCACCGAGGCTGCAAATGGCAAAGGAGTTTATTGGCTAGCTCG